GCCCCTGAGTCTCTCCTTCCCTCTGAACCCCTTCCCCTCTCTGGGCCCCTCTCCCCCTGAACCCCCTCCTCCTTTCCAGACCCCTCCCCTCCCCTATTCAGAAATACTGGCTGGTAAGTGCCTTCCTCACTCCTGACCTTTTAATCCTGGACCAAAACATACGCTCTAGCAGCTTGCCTGAGGACACACAGCTAGAGCAGGGGAGGCTGGATTTGAACCGAGGTAGTTCACATCCCAAGTCGGTTGTTAAAGAAGCAGCTCCTTCTGGTCTTGGAGGTTACTGGAGAGGAGGATCCACCCCTTTTAATTTAGTTTTTCATAAACGAAAACTAACCTGGAGTTGAGAGGGGTCTGAAATAGCTATAATCTATAGCCACCTTCATGGAGCTCTTATTATGTACCAGGCACTGTGTTCAGGGTGGTGGGGAGGCCCAGAGTCCAGCTCTGGGGGTGGAGGGATGGACGAAATAACCACCTGCTGCCCAACTTCTTGCTCCACATTCATTCAACAAATGTCCATTGAGTATCTACTGTGTGCCTGGCATTGTGCTGAGCGCTGGAGATACCAGCAGTGAACAAAACCTCTGCCCTCTGGTGTTGCTGTCATTTTGGTGGGAAAGAAACCAAATAGACAGATAAAAGAAAAAATAAGTCAGGGAGTGAGAGAGTGAACTGTTATATTATCTGGTGAGAAGCATTCTAGGCAGAGAGAACTGTAAGTGAAAAGGCCTTGAAGTAGCATCCTGTGTGAAGAACAAGATGGCTGGACTCATCAGAGTGCAGGGAGCCTATGGCAGTACTGGCTAGTTAGTGGTGTCACCATCCACTGGGTTGTCACCATCCACTGGGTATAAAACACCATTCTATTTCCCCTGGTGTCTTCCCCTATTTAAAAATCTCCATGGCCCCCATCACCTATAGGACAAAACAAAGCACCTCGATCTAATGTTCCAGGTCCTTCATTGTGCTCCCCCTGCTTCCATCATTACTTTCACCACCCTCTGACACAACAGCAATAATAATACCGCTCATTTATTGAGCACTCACTATGGGCCAAGTAAATATGATAAACACTTTACCTGCATCTCATTTAATTCTCAAGCAACCCTATGAAGTAGGCATTGCTATTTAACAGATGAGTAAATAGATTGGTGCCCAAGGTCACCAGTGGGTGGGGCTGGGATTTGAATCCAGACAATCTGGCTATGGACCCCATCCTCCTAATTACTACGACTCTGCCACCTAGAGAAATAGATTGTCTGACACATTCAAGACTTCTGCCTTAATGCAATTATTTTTTATTATTTGAATATTTTAGTATTTAATCATATGAAATGCTTTGTGCCCTATTGGAGCTCTACAGGCCTGAGTTTGAATCTTGGCTGTGACTAGAAGTGTCAGAACTGGGTGTCTGCTGGAATATGGGGACAGAGGGTGCGGAGCATGAAGGCCTCCTGACAGGTACACATGAGGAACAGTGCTCCCAGCTTGTGGTCAATGCTGGCTCAGTGCCCAGATCTGCGCCCGCTGCAGAGGGCGTAGTTTCTCTCTTGGAACCACAGTTTCCCCATGTACACAGCAAAGGGCGGAGCAGTCTGCGCTACTTGCCTTCTTTCACATCACAAACCCCATTTGACAATTTAATAAAAGATACAAACTCTAGAAAAATGCATAGACATGAAAAAATTTGCATACACTTTCGGGGTAGGGGTCATAGACCCCACCAGTAATCCATAATCTCCACATGTAGCTGTTGGGAGGTACCCACAGGGCACTGTTCAGGCTCCTGGGCTCTGGGGACAGAGAAACGCAGGTTGGGATCCTGGACCTGCTAGTACTAGCTCTGTGACCTTGTTATAGGGCTTTAACCTCTCTGAGCCACAGTCTTCTTAACAATAAAATAGGTAATTATACCTATCTCACATGCTGTTGTGAGAACCAATTAATACACTGCAGGAAAGGCTTTAGCTAGGCCAAGCACTGTGGTGAGCATCAGTAAATGGGGACTCCCAAGATTTAAGGTGATAAATAGTTCTCCAAGTGTGGCCACCTGGAATCAGAATCGCATGGGGAACTTGTAAAAATCTGATTTGGCAAATCGGGGATGGAGGCCTCCCAATTCTTATGCGACTTAGTTTGAGAAGCACGACATCTTTCCATCTTCTACAGTCCAGGTTCTGAAAAGAAACTGACAAGTTTCTGGTAGGCTGGGAAGAGCAGAAAACAGGTGCAGGGTGGGGCAAAGGCCACCTCTGTGTGCCTGTCGCCCTCCACGCCCGGGTACAGGCAGAGCTCGGGCTGCCCCACGCCACACTCTCCGATGAGCATCGGCGTCCTATGGCACCTCTAGCTGCCCCCTCCCAAAGGCCCGATGCCCTCGGGGCCGGCTACACGGGGAGGGGCGAAAGGAAAGGGCCTCCCGGGAGAGGGGACAAAACGGAAAGCGAAACCTGCCGGGCCAGACTTTCGCTTTCGCCGCCTCCGTGCACCACCCAGGTGGCCCCACGATCGCCCCTCGCGCTGGGGTCCAATCGCCGCGGGCCCCAGACTTGGCCCCTAGACGCTGCATCCTCGATGGCCAGTGACCCCTGGCGGAGGGAGGAAGGGAAGGTTCTCGACAGCAGGCGACCTATGGCGGGGGCCGGGGGTCCCCTGCGCCTCCGCGACTGGCTGGTGGCGCAGATCGAGAGCGGGCGCTACGCAGGGTTGCGCTGGGAGGACGCGGGCAAGACCCTCTTCCGCATCCCCTGGAAGCACGCAGCCAAGCAGGGGTACCAGGCGCAGCAGGACGCAGCGCTCTTCAGGGTAAGGGGACGGCGGCCGGCTGCTGGACGCCGGTCTGGCCCGGCCCGGGAGGGCTCTGGATGCGTACGGCCCTTAGCCTCAGTCGTCTCTAGGTTGAGGGTAATGTTTTCCGTGTATGGGAGACCCTCAGACACCCTCTTGAAACAGAATCACCGCGGCTGCATGACCTGCACCGTTTCCACCTCTCAGGGGCCTCTCCTCCCTCTCCAAGGAGAGATTAGAGACCACCAATGGGAACTCCCTCAACTTCCCACTCCAAAACCGCGGACCCAGGGACATTTTCTGTGCTTCCCAACACCAGATCTTCTCAGGGACCCCTCCAGAGAGCCCCCGCCCCTTTCCTCAGTAATCATTAACTTCCTCCTAACTGGCTCCTTCCTGTAATAGTTAAACTCTGGAATCTCTCCCATGAGCTATAAGGAACCAAGGAACCAACCAACCAACCACGTGTCAGACTACCACGGTCATCAATGAATGCCTCCAGCTTCCCCTGCTCTGGCCTCTCCTCTCCTTTCCCAGCAAGAAACACCTGGAAACAGTCTCCCGATCATCAGCTCCCTCATTCAGCATCCTCTCCAATGCCTTCTCCCCCTCCTCCACCCCATCTGGATTCTGCCAGTGTCTCTAGGTGCCAAATCCAAGGATGCCATCACTGTCATTTCTTTGACCCCTGGGGGAGGCTCCATTCTCTTTGAAACGCTCTCACTTAGTTTTCAGAATCTCTGCCTCCCAGCCCACCCTTCACCCTACATCTCAGCCTCCATCCCCTCCTCCTATTCTGCAGCTCTCAACACTCACTCCTGGACCTCCCTCTTCACATCCCACTCTCCCCTTCCACAGCCTCGGCATGGAGCCCAAGCCTCCTGGTCTAGCAGCCCCCAGACTTCTCAAACTCGCACATCCTCAACACCACGCTGATCAGCTTACGCTTACAAACGTCTTGTGTTTTTCAAAATGGAGAATGGCACCCATTGCCAACCAGACCCCAAAACCAGGCACCTGAACCCTGGCTGCTCCCCTCTCTTCCAATCTCCTTCTACTCCACTACCAAGGCCTACTGGCTCCTCCCACAGAACTTCTCTTCAGTCCATCTACTTGGACTTATTTCTATAATCTTTCACCAGGACAGCTGCAATGAATTCACAGAGCCCCCTGCTTCCCCCTGTCCCTCAGCCCTCCCCTCAGTCCTCCAGAGGGATCTTTCTAAAGGGAAATCTTCCCTTGACATTCCTCTACTCAGAATCTTTGGCTCCCCATTGTCCTTGTAATGAAGTTTCAATTCCTTACCACTGGCCTCAAAGCCCTGCAGGAACTGCCCCTCCCTGGCCACATCTCTCTCGGCTCCCTCCCCTCCCCAAGTGTAGACCCAGCCTGACAGTTCTTACAGTTTCTAAATGCTTCGTATCTCTCTCCATTAGACCTTTGCACATGCTGTTCCCTCTGCCTGGAACACCCTCTCCTTTTCGTCATGTTCAGCCCAAACATCTCTTCCTCAAGAGTCTTCCCCGATGTACTCATTTGTTTAATGTATTTATTAAGCTCCAGTTCAGTGCTTCTCCCAAGTCATCCCTGATTCTTTCTGCTTTCCCCACTGGAACAACTTCCCCTATGAATTATAAGTCCCTTGTATAGGTCTCTCTCCTCCAGCTGCTTGAGGGTGGAGCACAGTTTCTGTCACAAAGTAGGTACTCAATAAGTGTCGAATAGGTGGTTGCATGGCTTGTCCTTTAAGACTTATGTGCTGTTCAGAGGAGAGAGATTCTGGGGACTGGCCCTCCCCATCCTTCTGGCTGCTTTGACTGATTCCTCAACTGGCCACTGACACACACACATGTGACTCCCTGGCTTAACGCCTTCCTGGTGCTCAAAGCCCACAGTATAAAGCATGGCCTTTGAGGACATTCATGATTCAGCTTCAACCTGTCTCTTCTTCCTTAATTCCTCTTCCTCTTTCCCCCACCACATATAGGTGATCCTCTTTATTTGTAGATTTCATGTTTGCAAATTTACTAAATTTAAACTCGTTAAAATTTGTAATCCTAAAATCAATACTCAGGGCACTTTTGTAGCCTTTAAAAGACACGTGTGGAACAGCAAAAAATCTGAGTCACTGACATGCACGTTCCAGCTGAGGGTGAACAGGTGATGCTCTACCTTCTTGTTTCAGCTCTTCTGCTATAAACAAGTGCCCTTTTCAACATCTATTTAGTGCCACGTTTTTAGTATTTTTGTGCTTTTTGTTGGTGATTTTACATGTGCCCCCAAGCACATGTAATGCTGAAGTTCTGTCTAGCGTTGCTACGCACAAGAAGGCTGTGATGTGCCATACAGCAAAACTATGTGTCAGATAAGCTTCGTTCAAGTGTGAGTTACTGTACCGTTGGCTATGAGCTCAATGTTAATGAATCGATAGTTTATATTAATAAAGTGTCCAACAGAAACACACATAAAACAAGGTTATGTATTGATCGGTTGATGAAAACAGTGTGACCAGAGGCTCACAGGAACCTAGCCCTGTATTTTCCCTAGGAGTAACTCAATATTCACTAATACAGTGTTTGTGTAAATTTTATAGAACATAACTACCATGAAGAATGAGAATTGACTGTACATATACCCTCAGACACACATACTCAGCTCCAGCAACACCAGGCTGTTCACTGTTCCCTGAAGGCACCATGCCCTTTCACACCTCCAGGCCTTAACTCAAGCTGTTCCCCTTGCCAGAAATGTCAGTCACTCCACCTGGCACCTTCCTACTCACCCTTAAAGGCCCAGCTCTACTTATTCCATAGATACTTATTAAGTGTCTCCTGTGTACCGGGCAGCACTTTAAGTGCTTGGGGATACAGCAGTGAACAAAATAAAGATCCCTCTCTCATCATGCTGATAGCACCCTATTCCCTGTGCCCAGGTTACCTTTGAGTTAGAGTATCCTTGATCTAATGAATAAGTACTACAATAAGTCACCACTGACTGTGTGCCAGATGCTGTGCTTAGCACTTTACATAGACCTCTCATCTTATACCCACCACAACCACGTGACGCTAGGAATCAATGATATAGTTTACAGACAATAAATTCAAGCCTTAAAAGGTCTCATGACTGGCAAATGGCACCAACATAGGAATGTGGCTCTTTTGTTTGGTGTTTATGTTTCCTATGGCCTGGGACCTCTGAGGGCAATGACTAAATGTGATTCATCAGTTAAATACCTCCAAGCTCTGAATGTGATCAAAGCAAACAAGACCTCTCCTACCGCCCTCCTCTTTATCTCTCTGCCCCAGCCACACTGGCCTTCCTTGAGTCGATCAATGTTTCCCACCTCAGGACCTTTGCACTTGCTATTCCTAGAACACCCCTCAGTTCTCTGTCAGACTTCATCCTTCTTTTCATTCAGGCTTCATCTCAAATGCCATTTCCTCCAAGAGGTCATCATCCTCTCTAAAGTAGTCCCTGATATTTTTTGTTTATTTAGTCCCTCGACCACGACAGTTATTCTAAGGTGTTTAATGATTATCCTGGGTTTCTATGTTTTCTTACAAAGTGAGCATTGCTGTTTTGTGTATATTTTTACCTTCTATACAATATTATGTTGTAGACCTCTGTGTCTTACTTTTCGCTTAGGATCATGCTCTGAATATTTATTCTTGTTCTCTGTACATTTAATTTGCCGCTTTTGATGCTTCTAGATGCTGCATAGACTCTATAGTCGACATCCATTACACACACACACCTCTATCCACTTTCCCAGAGATGGACACCAGTCTGCTTTCCAACACCATAAGTAATGCTGCAGTGGATATCCTTGCCCTGGTCCCCTCACGAGCCTTTGTGAGAATTCCTTTGGAAATGGAATTTCTGCTCACAAGATATGTTTATACTTAATTTAATTAGGCATGCCAGATGACCATCCAGAAGCTCTGCACCCACTCCACACCCACCAACAGTGCCCACATCCCAACCAACTCTTGGCATTTTCCAACTGGCTAGGTTTGTCAGCTTACAAGTGATATCTCATATGTTCATTTGCATTTCTCTGACACTAATGAGTTTAGGTACTCGTGCGCTTATGGGCTTCTGGTTTCCTCTTCTATAAACTACCCATTCTTGTCCTTTGATGAGAATGTTTTCTTTAGGGGCATGCTCTCTGTTTCTTGTTGATTTGCAGAAGTTCCTTTTCTGTTCCAGATCTGAGCCCCTTGCCGATTTCGGACATTGTAATTTTTTTGCCTTATGGTTCATGCCTTTGAAATTTTATTTAAGAAGAATTCTCTGCCCCTACAATATTTTCTCCTACATTATCTTCTATTAATTTCACAGTTCTACCTCTTACTCTTTTTTTAATCATCTAGAGTCCACTTTGTATGTGTCAATAGGTAGAGATTTGGTTTTATGGTTCTCCAGATAGCATAGTATGGTCATTATTTTTTATATTCCATCATCTAGTTTATGTTTTATTTATCACAATCCATAATTTGGAATACAGTTATTTCCATTGAGCTGTTTGCAGATGTCTTTTCCCATTAGACTTGATTTCCTTGAGAGCCGGGACGATGTCTGTCTTGTTCCCCATTCAGTCTCTAACTCAGGCCTGGCACATAGTAGGAGCTCAAGGAATATGTGTTGGATGGAGGGAGGGAGGGAGGAAGGAAGAGAGGGGAGGATGAAGGGGTGGAGAGACAGAGGGTCAGAGGGAGAGAGAGAAGGGTGAGAGGCAAGGCAGGCCCTCATCTCTTTGCATAACACCAGCCCCCTGCCCCAGGCTATTCCTCCCCAAGTGCCCCTGCTCATCCCCAGGCCTGGGCCATATACAAGGGCAAGCACCTAGATGGCACTGACAAGGAGGACCCCTCCACCTGGAAGACACGGCTCCGCTGTGCCCTCAACAAGAGTGCTGACTTCTGTGAGGTGCGTGAGCGCAGCCAGCTGGACATCTCCAACCCCTACAAAGTCTACCGGATTGTGTCCAACGGTGCCCATGGCCCAGGTACCATCCTGCCCCTGGACGTAGTGGCCAAGGATGGCTCTCTGGACAGTAAGGACCTCACTTTGCACATCTGTAAAATGGGAAATGGTGGACTTATTGAGCTTAAACTCATGGGCAGATAAACACAAAAGAACCTTAACTACCCAGTTTATCTCTCCATTTGAAAAGGAGGAAACTGAGGCCCAGAGAGAGATGGATCATGCAGTGAGCTGGGGTGTTCTTGTCTGGGATCAACTCAGTTGAGAAGTTCCCCTCGGGGCCCAGGAAACAATAGGCTATCTATTCCTCCATCCAGTTACCAGGGCTTGTGCTTCTCCTAAAGAGGAGGACAGTCCCCAGAGCCAGCAGGAGCCCCCTGGAGAAGTGATGAAGCCAGCATGCAGGACAGACCAGGTCAGTGTGTCCTTCCAGCCCCTGCAGCCTTGCCAGCTCAGTCATCTCTCACCCAAACCACCCTCTCTATGGTCTCCAGCACATTTTTTTTTCCTCCATCCCCACCACTCCTATCAGCTCTATTTCTTCTTATCACTACTCCATCTCAGCCATCATTTTCAACTCCATCATTCTATTCACTTTGCCTCCATTATCTCTGGCTCTGTCCCTGTTCCCATCACCTCCATCATCTTCAACTCCATCACTCTGTCTGCATCAACCCTATTTTCTCCAAATTCACCCCCTATCCCTTACCATCATTAGATCCATCACTCTGTCCCCACTCACCCCATCAGATCCAGTTCTACCACTATATTCCCTTCCCCTTCATTGCCTCTGGCTCTCTCACTGTTGCCATCACCCCATCATCTCTATTTCCATCACTGTCTGTATTACCCTTATTATCTCTCCCCCATCATTGATAGCTCATTGCTCTGTTTCCATACTGCCATCAGCCTGGTCCATTCCGCTGTTCCTAGTGCCCCCATCAGCATCCATTCCATCATTCTGTTCCCCTGTCTCCATCACTTCTGTTCCCCATCTCTCTTATTCACTTCTAGCATTTTATTCCCTATCGCAGTGAGCTTCATCTCTGACATCATCACCTTCAACAACTCCATCAATTCTCTCTTTACTTTTCTGCGGGGAAGGGTCTTGGAGCTCTGAAACCTCAAAGTTCTTGTCAACCCCAGCTGGGCTTCAGTCCGCCCAGACCTCCCTCTGCCCCAGGGTTGACAGTCTGGGAACTCCTCTCCCACGCTCACAACCCTCTCTCCTGATGCTTAGGCTGGCTCTGGATTAGCCACAGAGGATAAGGACAAGGAGCAGCCCCCCAAGCTGGCCCAGCAGGGCTCATTGCCACCAGTTGCCCTGCTCCCGGGCCCTTTGGCTGACCACAGTAAGGACCGAGTCTCCTCACCCACCCCTGCCTCCTCCCCAGTCTCCTCCAAGATCTTAATCTAGGGGTGAAGGGATCCGGGGTGAGGTGATGCCTGGCTGATTCTCCTCCTTCCCCAGGGTACCAGGCACAGCACCCCGCACAACTTTGGAGCCCCTTTCCCTCTGAGGACTTCAGCAACCCTGGTAAGGAATCTCCCTTCTGACCACTGCGCAAAACAGGAGAGGGCTGGGTTAGGGGCAGCTAGCCTTTGTCTCCTACCCAAAGGACCCAGCCCAGACTCCCAATAACAACAGCAATGGCTAACATTTGTTGAGGGCTTAGTTTATACCAGACATTCTTCTAAGCTCTCTCCACAGCCCTGAGAGGTAGATCCTGCCATTACACCCATTTTACAGATGCCGAAACAAGACACAGAAGTTAAGAACTTTGCCCAAGATCACATGTCTAGTAACCTGGGAAAGTTGCTAACAGGTCACAGCTCCTAAGTGGCAGTGAGTGACAGTCCAAGGGCCTGACTGCAGAACCCACAGTCCTAACCGTAGAGCTTACTGCTGGCTACTCACATCGGAGGCTGCTGTGTTGTTGTTGTTGTTGTTGTTGTTGTTGTTGTTGTTGTTTCCACCAGCATTAAAATATTTGCTGGGGAAAAGCTCCTAAAATCTCAGAGGTTGGTGCTGTGAGGGCCTCAGTGTCATGCCCCCATTGTACAGATGGCCCTAGATCCCATGCTTTTGAAGCTTAGCTACCAGTTTGTTTATACTTGAAACTGCAATTACTTACCACCATTACCACTATTAGAATTATTATCACTTATCGCGAGAAAATGCCCAAATTCCCGAGGTGGGGGCCAGAGGGAACCTGAGTCCCCAGCCCTGTTGTGGGGATGGAGGCGGCAGCCGTTGCCCTGAGCGCGCGGCCCTTCTCTCCTTTCCGCAGACTGCTGGCTGCACGTGCGGCTGTTCTACTGCGCGGAGCTGGTGCGTGAAACAATCGCGCGCACAGCCGAAGGCTGCCATCTGAGCCCTCAGACAACCGCCGCTGCGGCTTTGCGCCTGCTGGGGCCGCTACCGCGCGTCGCACAGGTTCGCTTCCCGGAGCCGCCGCCCGGCGCCCTTGTGCTGCAGCGCCTGCTGCCTCACCTGGAGCGCGGCGTGCTGTTGTGGGTGGCTCCCGAGGGCGTATTCGCCAAGCGCCTGTGCCAAGGCCGCGTTTACTGGTGCGGCCCGCTGGCCCCGCACCGCTCACAGCCCAACAAACTGGAGCGCGAGCACACCTGCCAGCTGCTGGATACACGCCGCTTCCTCGAGGGTAAGGGCGCCACGATGGGGCCAGTGGTGGTGCAGAGCAGAGCGGCTGCGCACAAGAGTGGGCAGAGGGACAGGGACAGAGGAGAATGGGCACACCGAGATGTGGGCATAGGGCAGTGGGCAAACAAAAGACATGAAACAAAAGACATGACACAGAGCACTGGGAATGGGAACAAATCCGGGCATGGGGAGGGCTGGGCACAGATATGGGCTTAGGTGTGTAGGGGGTGTGCATGTGGAAGTGGACACAGATGTAGGACATGAAACAAGCATACGGATATGAAAGTGGCTTAGGGCATAGGTGCACAATGGGGATGTGGGCTTACGGGACGTAGGCATAGGATAAGAGCACAGCTGGGCATCACGTAGGATGCCCTGTCTTGGCCCAGCCCCTACAGTCTCCTTGCCCGTAGAACTGCGGGCCCACCTGCAGGATGGTTGCCCGGAGCCTGAGTACCAAATCCGTCTGTGCTTTGGTGAAGAATACCCGGGACCCCGGGACCAGCCTGAGGAGAGGCTCATCATGGCCCATGTGAGTCACCTCCCACCCCAGCAGAGAACCATACCCTCCAATCCCCTCCTGAAATCCCTCACTGCTCCCTCTAGTCCCAGCTCTGCCCCAGTCAAACCTGCTGTTTGACTCTGCCTGTAAAATGCATGTGGAAGGGGGCTGTCAGTAGGGCTGTGACTTCTCACGGGGACATAGGGGGCAAATAACAGAGAAAGTTGGCTCATCGCCTCCCACCCTCCATCCTCTGGCAGGTGGAGCCAGTCTTCGCCCGAGAGCTCCTCCTGCACTCGAAGAGCCGCAGCCACAGTGTCACCTCAGCGGCAAGTTCCCTCATCCCCAACCACATCACTCACCTAATGACACATCTCAGTCAGCCCTAAGCATCCATTTCCACCTCTCTGACCCTCTAAAGGCAGCCCCCCACAGGTTGCAGATCCTACCCCAGCCCTGCCCAAACTGAGCCAGTAGACTTGGGGCCTCCCCACACCCACTGACAGCAGAAGCTGATCGCAGACTTTGGCCTCTCAGCTGAAGAGATGGAACCCTGGAATGCAGCGTGTAGGCAGCCAGCCTGGCAGCTGAGCCTGGGGCAGCAGGTGGAAAACAAACTTGACCTTGAGATTCTGGAAACAGCGATGAGGGCAGAAGGAACAAGACTTTATCTCTTTGTTGAAAGCCCAACATGCCTGTATCAGTTTACCTAAAGCAGACCTTACCTGTGATTGATCCATTATAAGCTTTGCTTAAAGCCGAGTTTACCAATAATTAGATCCTCAGGATTGTTTAGAGTGAGGCCAACCAATAACAGAATTGCCAGGGCTCTGAGGGACCCTGAGTTTCCAGACCTTTCCTCCTGCCTGCCACTAGGGTCATCTAGTGCCCCATCTCACTTCTTTTTGGGAATGGGGAGTGGGGTGGGGAAAGGTCCCAAAACAGAGGACTTGGCCCAAACCCAGGTTAGATGCTAACCCCTGAACCACCAGCACCAGTAGATACTGTCTTTGGAGAAACTGAGGCAGGCTGCCAAATAGAACCCTGAGGCAGATGCCAAAGTGGGAGCCAGGAGTCCAGCTTCTCCTCAATCTTTGCAAACTATAAGTTGTAGGGAGTCCTTGAGAATTGGGAGGAAGCCCCTTAACCATGAAGGTAATTGACCTTGCCTTGTCAGTAATTCACTGTTTTCAGGCCCAGATAGCAGACCTTTTTTCCTTTCAGGATTTCTGACTTTATTATGTTGCCTCTTACAGGTGGCAACATAATAAATCTCTTTTAGTGATACATTAATAAGCTACTTTTATGGGGTGAGACTGTATGATTCAACAAAGGACAGAAGTCAATTAAATCACTTTTTTTTTTACTTCATTGAACTAATGTTGATTGAGCGCCTACTCTGTTCCAGGCCAATGCTGGACACTGGGAATGGAGCTAAACAACTCTTTTGGGATTCACAGCCAGTTGGGAGTACAGTGACTGTCCTCTACCCCTGCCCCTCATAGGAGAGGTGATTGTAAGGAGTTTCAGAATACTGGGTTGAAATCCCAGCTTTTTCACTCACCAGCTGTGTGACCTTAGGCAAGTCACTTAACTTTTCTGAGTCTTAGATTCCTCATCTATTCAAAAGAAGCTATGAAGGCCTCTGGAGCAGGGTTGCTGAAGAGGGGAGGTGAGTGGGCCTGGCATGGAGGGTGGTACAGTAGATGCCCTCTGACTTGGTTACTTGTGGGTGGGAGAGCATTGAGGAGGCTGTCTCATCCTTCAGAAGGCCTGATGTCTGTCCTGGGCTTCATTGTCCCCCTAGCCCAAGGCTGTAGCTGGCAGGAACCTCAGTTCAGAGTGACAGTCTTCAGCCGTATCCTTCTCTGTGCTAAGCTCTTGGAGGGCACTGGATTCCATGTAAGGGAGCCTGTTGTCTCCTCTCCACAGCCCAGACAGCTGAAGAGTCACCAGCTCTACTTTAGAGATGGAAAACGGAGGCTCAGTCAGAGTCAGGGACCTTTTGGGTGATGGGGGTGATGTTTCTGCTCAGATGGCTGTCCTCCCCGACACTAGTCACTAGAGGGCGCTGGTACTCAGCAGACCAGGTTTGGCCGCCTCTCATCACTATCCTAGGTCCACTTTCCCTCCTCCCACTGCCTGCTGGAATTCACCCAGTGCAAGGAGGGCAGGGAATAGTGTGACCCCAAGGGCTCTGCACTGTGGGGAGGAGTAGGCCACAGACCTGGGAGAAGGAGGAGAGGAGTAAAGGGGAACTGGAGATGGGGACTTGAGAGGCCCCTGTGGCTTTTCTCATGGAGACGCCCAGTTGTCTAACTCAGCTCTTAGATTCTACCTCTCCGGTCTCTTGTTAGAGATGAGTGTCTCTTTGTCTCTCTGCCCCTCCCTCTCTTGTGTCTGTACTTGTGTCTCTCTCTGTATCTCCTATTTTCTCTCTATCTCTGTAGATTTCTTTCTTTCTCTTTCAGTGATTCTTTTTCTGTATACTATGTGCATGCATGTGTGCATGTGTTTTTTCTGCCATATCTTTGTCTCTCTCTCTCTCATTATGTCTCTGCCTCTGTCTCTCTGTGTGTTTCTGTCTCTCGTTATGCCTCTACCTCTCGTTGTCTTTGTCTCTGTCTTTTTTTCAGTATCTCTGTCTCTTTACATCTCTGCCTCTGTCTCTTTTTGTTTCTGTCTCTGTCTCCCTCAGTTTCACATCCTGTCCCTCCCCAGCCACCACCACCCAGCACATGTGGGCTGAGGGTCTTAGTCCCTTCCCTCGCAACTCCTCACCCCTGGCAGCTGCTTACGACTTCCCAGTCCTGGCCTCTCCTGCCCGCCTCTCTTGGGCCTTGGAGGAGGGGGGCCAGGGAGGAAGGGAGGGCAGCCTGGCGGGCCCACCCCTTTTTGCCTTTCCAGGCTGGGAGGCTGGGCCAGTGGGCCTTTTAACCAGCCCGGCCGGCTGTGCCGGACACCAGCCCTGGACTCCCGTGCCTGGCCCCTGTGGTCCCAGCAGCCGCCAGCCAGGCCAGCCCAGCCAGCATGCAGCAGCAGCCCCCACCCGGGCCCCTGGCCCCTGCGGCCGAGCCAACCAAGCCTCCCTACAGCTACATAGCCCTGATCGCCATGGCCATCCAGAGCTCCCCAGGGCAGCGGGCCACACTGAGCGGCATCTACCGCTACATCATGGGCCGCTTTGCCTTCTACCGCCACAACCGGCCTGGATGGCAGAACAGCATTCGCCACAACCTGTCACTCAATGAGTGCTTTGTCAAGGTGCCCCGTGATGACCGCAAGCCAGGCAAGGGCAGCTACTGGACATTGGACCCGGACTGCCACGACATGTTCGAGCACGGCAGCTTCCTGCGCCGACGCCGACGCTTCACCCGGCGGGCAGGTACTGAAGGCGCCAAGGGCTCTGCCAAGGCACGCCGTGGACCCCTCAGAGTGACCAGCCAGGACCCAGGAGTCCCCGACGCCACTGCTGGCAGGCAGTGCCCATTTCTGGCGGAGCTTTCAGAGCCCAAGGGCCTAAGCTTTGGGAGCCTGGTGGGAGCCTTGCCAGCCAGCATGTGCCCGGCAACGACCGACGTCAGGCCCCGGCCATCCACGGAACACAAAGAGATGCTCACGCCCAAACCTGCAGGCCCAGGGGAGCTCCCCGCAGCCACATCGTCTTCTCCATGCCCAGCATTTGGCTTTTCTGCTGGCTTCTCTGAGGCTGAGGGTTTTAGTAAGGCTCCTACACCCATCTTGACTCCTGAGGCAGGCATTGGGAGCAGCTACCAGTGCCGGCTGCAGGCCCTAAATTTCTGCATGGGGACTGACTCAGGCCTTGAGCACCTCTTAGCTTCAGCAGCCCCCTCCCCTGCACCTCCCACCCCTCCAGCCTCACTGCGGGCCCCGCTGCCCCTGCCAGCTGACCCCAAGGAACCCTGGGTTACTGGCAGCTTCCCTGTCCAGGGAGGCTCTGGCTACCCACTGGGGTTGACCCCCTGCTTATACCGGACACCAGGAATGTTCTTCTTTGAGTGAAGCAAGCTTGGCCTTGGGCAGTCCCTGCTGGACCCCTGCCAACTACACCCTCCAGGCTGAGCCTGACTCTAGGATCTGGGGAGTTCTCAAAGGACCCAGGCCTGGCAAGCCAGTGACACTGGGACAGGAAGCCAAGATTGGATGGTGAACACTCAGCCAGCTCCCAGGGCCTCTGGACAGACTTGGGGGTGAGGGGAAGCGGAGACCCCTTGGTATTTACTCTGTGGCTCTCAGGGCCAATAAAGCCAGTGTGATGATCAGGACCAGTCTGCTGAATGGCTAGGGGATAAGGGCCAGGACACCTGGTTCTTCTGTGTTGGATGGCTGTGGTTGCGGGGTTATGTGGCAGGGGTGGGGGATCCTGGATGGAAATATCCCACATGAGGCCTTCTCCTGCTGGGGACTTTCTCAGGGAGTTTCCCAGGAAGGCAGAGGAAGGGAGAGCAAGGAATGGGAGAGAGAGAGAGAGAGAGAGAGAAAGAGAGGAGGGATGTAACCAAGAGAGACACCAGGCAGGAGGTGAGGCTATCCTAGTTCTGCAGTTCCAAACTCTGTGACTCAGTTGCCCCCATCATGAGTGGTCAGAATAACTGACCATTTGTGGCATTTATTCTGTCCTGGGCTTACATATATCCTCTCACTGAATCCTGTGTGATAACGGAATGGTATCCCCATTTTACAGTGGCAGAAACTGAGGCTCGGAGAGTTTGGGGCTCACTAGCTCCAACTCCAGATAGCACATGAGTGGCAGAGAGGAAATCAAAACCAGGTCTGCGAGCTCTGCCCTCGGCTCCTGACCTGAAGTCTGAGAGAGGATGCAGGGATGCCACATAGAGCAGGAGTAGAGCTAGTGGAAACAGGGAAGGGGGTTTGGAATGCCAGTGCTAAAAAGGCACCCGTTATGTCTTGCAAGTCTCAAAAGGCAGGCAGGAATCCTCTTGTCTGGATTTCCCACAGGAATGGGGGCCTCCCTGAGTCCCCAGCTCTCTGAGCTTGCCTGGTGACTCTTTAAGAAAGCATTTCTCTCATGGGGAAATGGGGGTGGCTGTCCTGGGCACAGATCAGAAGAGACAGAGCCTTGACTTTTGGCCTTCTTCAGCTGCCCGCTTGCGGAAGCAGGAGGAATGGGTGTATTTTTGTGGCCCCATCAGAGGAATGGACTTAGAAACCTGTCCCCACACCCCCTAATACCAGAATTGCTGAGGCAAATGGCTTCCTTCTGGAGCCTCAGTCCCCCCTCTGGATCATGTGCATAGAGAGAGAAGAACAGAGCAGGAAGACTGGAGAAGCCCCTTTCTGGTCTTGATGTGGTGGCCTGGAGGGTCTTATGTCCCATGAGGTGACACCCTGGGGGCTGGAGACCCCTTCATCATACAGGCATCCCAGTCCCTTCCAGAGGCTTTTCCTGGGCAGGCAGCCACACTGACTTCAGTCTCTGTTGCTCCCTCCTCCCTCAGCAAGTCCCCTGGGGCCTGGGAGGAAGCGAGCCCGGCTGGACAGCCCCAACTGTCTGGTTCCCACAGACTCCAGAGCCAGGGTGGAAGGGGGACCTGCAGGGTGGGGGCTCACTGTGGCCAGAGGGGTTGGGAAAATGCCTGGCCGGCTGTGGGGACCCTCCCCTCAATGCCTGCCAGACCCCAGCCTGGAACCCACTGAGCCACAGGGAGAAGGAAAGAGGGTCTGTCCTGGCGCATTCAGGCTGTCTTATGGGTGAAAGGGGAGGAAGAAAAGGTCCCATGCATGGGGACATGGGTGAGAAGAGGGGAAGGAGGAGCTTGTGTGGGTTCATACGATGGTCTGTGCCTCTGTGGGTCATTATGTCTCAGGGTGTGTGTGTGGATGTGTGTGTGTGATACACAGAGACAGACAGACAATTATAGAGACAAGGACAAGCAGATTCGGCATGGGGCGGGGGCGTTCTTTC